TCGAGCAAGCAGAAGAAAAGGTCGGCCAAGCCTGCGAAGAAATCATCGAATCAACAAACTAAAAACCAAAACGGCTCTTTTCAGAGCCACAACGTTTTCACAAAAGAGATGAGATATTCGTTTCTGCAATTTGCATTTTTTTTTATTTTATATTTTTCATGATTACTGTTTTTAAGCTTTCGTTAACCCCCCCCCCCCCAAAAAAAACACCCCAAAACATCATTGCATGAAAATAGGATATTTTCACCCCGGTATATTCCATCCCGCCCCAGGGGCCAGAATAAAAAAGAACATCGGATATTCCAACCTCCTGATTCGGAGTACTCTAACTCCCCCCCCCCCCCACACACACACACACGCTTAATTGCACAGGCATAGAAGTGGGGAAGCGGCCCCCATCCCCCATTTCCCCCCATCCCCCATTCGCCCCTCCCCCGCCCCTAACTCCCCCTTCCCCGGGGTCTGGATAATGGTGCACGGAAAAAAAGAGAAATTAGGGACAAAGGAAATTTTATCCCCGCCACGCCCCAAGGGGTCGGGATAATGGGCAAGACCAAAAGGGTCAATAAAACATGTGATTATCTGTTGCATGCAGTGTTCCCGGTGCACGCCCCCAACCTCCCCCACCCCACCCTCTCAACCCCGTCCCGTCGCTTTAAGATTGTAAGGGACGAAAAAAGGCCATTAAGAAACGGAATCCTTGCTTTGTAACGCTTCTTCCATAGCTCCTGCACGGGTGCATATCTATGTTCCCCAATACCGATGTTCCCCAAAACCGATGTTCCCCGAAATCCTTACCGAAATATAACCCTAACCCTAACCCTAACCCTAATCATATGGATTTGGGGGAACATCGATAGTTTCTGCTCTGCTGCACGATACGTACATGTACATGTACGTGTATACTGTATACTGATCATTCGCAATTTTTGGCAGTTCCTTCGAAAAATTTCCATGCATATTGCTCGCGACCATCGCACAATCAAACCGACCACTCATATGTGGCACACCATTCGACAGCTGAAAACCTCAACTATTTGAAATAAATTCATTTGAATTTGAACCAAATACTGGAAAGAAGACAAACGGGATTAAAGCGATGGACGCCTAGCGAGTGTGGCCGAAATTGATCGAAGACGATGTCATGCGCGTATTAAAGCAAGAATTTGACTATCGCGTCATAAATTTCGGCGCTGTTAACCTAATTAGCATACGAAGGTTTCTGTGAATAGTTTGTCGTGGCCCCCACCCTCTGCCCCTAGGGTCGGGATATAATGCAAGGACCAAATCAAAAGAAGATTGAGAAATTCCAGGCCCTCCCCATCTGCGGCTCCCCCGGGGATATTCAACCCTCCTGGTTTGGAGTACTCTAACCCCTCCACCTCTCTCTCCCCCTCTCTCTCCCCCTCTCTCTCCCCCTCCCCCCCCCCAAGAGCAGCACGTCTTAAGATTAATCGCTGGAAGAACAGGAATAATATTCCATCCTCTTTGTTTGGGGAAATCCAACCCGCCCCCACCCCCTCCACCCACGGGCATGCAGGTCTGAAAATAATCCTTGAAGAAAATGCAATCCTCTGTTTGGTAAATCCACAAGCCCTGCCCACTCCCACACCCACCCACTGGGCATGCAGATCTGGAACTGAGAATCGCTGGAAGAAAATCCCCCGACCCCACCAACCCCTACCCGGCCTCAACCCCCCCCCCCCCCAACCCAGTCCCATCCCGCAGTAAAAAAAAAAGTCTGGTCGGGAACGTAATTGCACCACCACCGTAAAAAGACAAAAATCACTGTTGGAAAACAAATTTCAGCTTTCTTGGCATGGCTTGAACCGCACACCCCGCCCCCGCCCCACCCCGGGGGTCTGAATATGATATCCAGGACAGGGGAAATGAAAAATGAAAGGGGTAGGCCTACTCCCAATAATATAATAAAGGTGCATCATTCATCAGAAAACAAAACATCTTGCTTTTTAGATTAATCTTGTTTTTTTTATTATTAGAACGCAAGCGGTGATGGCGTGATCAATATTGAAAATCATTTGCTGTTCCATCGAAAAATGCCAATGCATATTGCTCGCGACCATCGCACTATCAAACCGACCACCCACATGTGGCACACCATTCGACAGCTGAAAACCTCAACTATTCGGAATAAATTCATTTGAATTCGAACCAAATGTTGGAAAGAAGAAAAATAGGATTGAAGAGATGGACTCCCAGTGAGATTGGCCGAAGACGATGTCATGCGCGTAATAAAGCAAGAACTTGACAATGACGTCATCATGAGCGGAGCTGTTCGCCTAGTTGCATACGAAGGTTTCTGTGAATAGTTTGTCGGGGCCCCCACCCTCTGTCCCCAAGGGTCGGGATATAATGCAAGGACCAAACTCCGCTGGATCGACGGCCTCACCAGATGGAGCGGTCTCAGTGTGGATAAACTAACTGCGGCGACCCTTCAGCGAAGGAAATCACCCCTTCACCAGTCACACAACCCAGAAGAAGTGGACGGTTGTTGCGTCAACGGGCAGTAGCCTACGACGTCTGATGATGATGATGATGATGATGGAAACAAAAGAAGATTGGGAAATTCCTGAAGCTCCCCGGGATATTCAACCCTCCTGGTTTGGAGTACTCTAGCCCCCCCCCCTACCCTGACTCATGCGGCCCCACCACCTCCCCCCCCCCCAAGAGCAGCACGTCTTAAGATTAATAACTAAAAGAACATGAAGGACATTCCACCCTCTTTGTTTTGGGAAATCCCCCCCCCCCGACAACCCCTACCCGGCCTCAACCCCGGCCCGGTCCATGATATCGCAGTAAAAGAAAGTCTGATCGGGAAAGTAATTGCACCAAATTAAAAGACAAACTTCACTTGTTGGAAAAAAAAAATTCAGCCATCTTGCCGTGGTTTGAACACCACGCTCCGCCCTCCCCCATCGCCCCACCCCAGGGTCGGAATATGGTATCCAGGGCAGGGGAAAGGAAAAAAGAAAGGGGTATTCCCAATAATAAAGTCACATCATTCATCAGAAAACAAAACATCCTGATTATTTTATTAATCTTGGGTTTTTATTAGAACGCGCGCGGTGCCGGCGGCGGGATTATAGCCGGCGTGATCAATTGAAAATCATTCGCAATTTTTAGCAGTTCCAGTGATAAATTTCCATGCATTTTGCTCGCGACCATCGCACTATTAAACCGACCACCCACTTGGGCCGCACTATTCGCCAGCTAAAAACCTCAACTACTCGGAATAAATTAATTTGATCTCAAACCAAATGTTGGAAGGAAGAAAAACAGGATTGAAAAGATTGACTCCCTTGGACAAAACGAAGTTTGAGTTCCAAAAAGGAAAACGCTAAAACAATATTTTAACTGTCAAAACTCACCCTTTCATTTAACAATTTTGACGCTTTCTTCGGCAAAAGGAAGCGGACATCATTCTGTTGCTTTCAGCAAATAAATTTCTGGCATGTGCATCCTCCGATGTAGGCCTACAATGATATTATTAATAAAACTGAAGGAGTCTGGCCAAAAATTGGCCGAAGTAGATGGCATGCGCGTTAGCAAGAATTTCATTATGATGCTATAATTAGCGGCGCTGTTTACCTAATTTGCATATCAAGATTTCTGTGTTGGTGGGGGCCCCCACCACCCACCGCCCAAAGGGTCGGGATATGTTGCAAGGACCGAAAAAAGAAAAGAAAATGTGAAATTCCACCCTCCTCCTTTTGAGGCCCCCCCCCCCCGGATTTTCAGCCTCCTGGTTTTGAGTACTCTACCCCCGGCCCCCTCTACACTCACGAGGCATCCTCGCCCACGGCCCCCCCCCCCCCCCCCTCCACCGGCAACCCCTTATGTCCACTCCCCTTCCATGGGGTCCTGATATGGTGCAGGTGTAAGAAATGAAAGACAGGAAATATTCCATTGTCCTGGTTCTCAGTACCCCCCTCCCGTTCCTTTCCCCCCACCCAGGGGACCCCACCCCGCCCCTCAAGGTGTTGGGATATATGCAATGGCCATTCAACCAAAGAATGTGCATATTCCACCCACTGTGTCTTTGTTCCCCCGCCGCCCCCCCCCCCCCCCTCCCCCCTCCCCCTCCCCCACCCCACCTGCAGGCCTCCCCAACCCCACCCGCGGGCCATCCCCACCCCAACCCACCGCCCAACCCCGTTGCATCGGGATACAGGGTAAAAGGGACAGAAAAAAAGAGACACACACACATTTCATCAAACGGGATCCCTTTAATCAAACGGGATCCCTTTAATCTTCGTAACCGTCTTTCACTGAGCTATATATATCTCCTGCACGTTGCACGTGTTTATATCACGTGATTACTTCACTATCATTCGCAATTTTGGGCAGTTCTAGCGAGCAATTTTTATGCATATTGCTCGCGACCATCGCCGTATCAGACCGACCACCCACATGTGCCACACCATTTCAAAGCTGAAAACCTGTTCTATATGGAACTAATTCCGGTTTTCCCGAACCAAATTCGAGAAGAAAGAAATTTAGGATTAAAAAGATGGACTCCCTCGAAAAATAAGAAGGTTTGGTTCCTAAAAAAAAAAACGCTAAAAAATGTTTCAACTGTCAAAACTCAAGCAATAGTTCATCGATTTTGACGCTTTCTTCGGCAAAAGAAAGCAGATATCATGAGCTTTTCTACTGTAAATTTCTGGCATGTTCACTCTCCGATGCATAATGATTTCATTCATAAAACTGAAGCGAGTCGGGCTGAAATTGATGGCATGAGCGCAAGCACGAACTCAACGTTGACGTCATAATGAGGGGCGTGTTGACCCCAATTTGCATAGGTGAATTTTCGCGATAAGTTTGTATGTGAGTCATTCAATACCGTAACACCACCCTTTGTTGCGCAGAGGTCAAAGAATAAACCGGTCACATTTCAATGCACACGACCCAAATAGTTTACAGTGAAATTCAACAGGCAAGGCAAAGCTTGATTGAAAAATCTCCAAGAACAGTCTTACCTCGTGTTTCCCATGCTGATTTACTGAACTCTCAAATGGAGGTAAATTCCACAGATTTCGTTGGTATTCATAACATAAACCGCCACTCAAATTTCGGAGAAGACATTTAAAAATCGAACTATGGCCTGCGTCGACGTCTCACACTCGACTCGTTCAGTTCACGCTGTAAACTGACTGGATGGATGTTTAAGAATCCCCACAATTTTCGTACAAAATAATCCTCACAAGTTGCAGTGAACGACGTGTCCTGAATTTGGTCCGCAAATCTTGCCCTCTCGAATAAATTCCACAGGTTGGCAATAGACGCTACAGTTGCATCACCTTAGAAACGAAATTCCTCATTTCATAGCGTCCGTTAACTTTCTGATTGACAAGAAAATTTATTTATGGCACATGAATAATTTCGCTTCGCTGGTGACACAACCAAAAAAGACATGCAATGTGGGTATGATTGAAGGGAACCAGTTACAATTTTACTTTCACGGTCGCTCGAAATTAAGATACCGCAAGAGGGCGCTATGCCATTTTCTCGGTAAACCACTTGTTCGCGACACCTGTTGCTGTCTGCTGCTTGATTGTAAACGCCGGGTTGTCCATCTCCAACTTTCAGTGAAAATTCGTTGGATATGCACGAGGCACACGGAATTCAGCCGCGGAATTAAAACGTCAGCGTGGTACTTATTTAATGGGCAATTGTGCCCTAATTTTGTTCCCTTAATAAATCGTAAAATTACTGGTTTGCTGGCCGACAAAAACACATTGAATTTAATGGGGTGAACACTTCGACGACCTGGAATCGAGCATGTCAAGGGCGGAGCCAGAAAACAATTTCTTTTGGGGGGGGGGGCAAAAAAAGAATGTTGGTCCCCCAAAGAAAGAGTGGGTCCCAAAACTTATGGCGTTTTTTAAGGGCCCCTAATAGTTTTTTTTTTTTTTTGATTCTAGATGCTCTGTGCTGTGGTGCGATCTGAGGCAATTTATGACCACTTTGACCAATTGTTTTGCCTAGGAGTGGGATCAGAACTGAAAAATCTTTTAAAAAATCCTGGACACTAGAAGTACAAGTAACATGGACCCTACCAATCACCTTTTTTAACATCCGGACATGGTCTAGTACTTATAGTAATAGTAGTCCGAAAAATTTGGGACTTTCCATGCTGTTTCTGGTACTAGGGTCCCAGTTACTCGGACCATGGAGCTACACATGTATATATAATAGCTCTACGCTCGGACCATGCTCGGACTAGGACGTCACAATTAATATGCAATCAAAGTAACAAAAAAGTGGAATAGCATAAAAAAGCATAATTTCACACTTTTTTGTGGTTACGAAATTAACTATAAAGATTCAATTTACCCAAAAAGAAATATAATTTAAAATCTAAAATTCCCAACCTGGATTTGAACCCACAACCTTCAGATTGAGAGTCAGCAGTCCATACCATTGGACTAAGCATAATTTCACACTTTTTAGTGGTTACGAAATTAACTATAAAGATTCAATTTACCCCAAAAGAAATAAAATTTAAAATCTAAAATTCCCAACCTGGATTTGAACCCGCAACCTTCAGATTTAAAGTCAGCAGTCCATACCATTGTACTAAGCATAATTTCACACTTTTTAGTGATTACGAAATTAACTATAAAGTTTCAATTTACCCAAAAAGAAATAAAATTTAAAATCTAAAATTCCTACCCTGGATTTGAACCCACAACCTTGAGATTTAGAGTCAGCAGTCCGTACCATTGGACTAAGCATAATTTCACACTTTTTAGTGGTTACGAAATTAATTATCAAGTTTCAATTTACCCAAAAAGAAATAAAATTTAAAATCTAAAATTCCCACTCTGGATTTGAACCCACAACCTTGAGATTTAGAGTCAGCAGTCCGTACCATTGGACTAAGCATAATTTCACACTTTTTAGTGGTTACGAAATTAATTATCAAGTTTCAATTTACCCAAAAAGAAATAAAATTTAAAATCTAAAATTCCCACTCTGGATTTGAACCCACAACATTCAGATTTAGAGTCAGCAGTCCGTACCATTGGACTAAGCATAATTTCACACTTTTTAGTGGTTACGAAAATAACTATAAAGATTCAATTTACCCAAAAAGAAATAAAATTTAAAATCAAAAATTCCCACCCTGGATTTGAACCCACAACATTCAGATTTAGAGTCAGCAGTCCGTACCATTGGACTAAGCATAATTTCACACTTTTTAGTGGTTACGAAATTAACTATAAAGATTCAATTTACCCAAAAAGAAATAAAATTTTAAAATCTAAAATTCCCACGCTGGATTTGAACCCGCAACCTTCAGATTTAGAGTCCGCAGTCCATACCATTGGACTAAGCATAATTTCACACTTTTTAGTGGTCACGAAATTAACTATAAAGTTTCAATTTACCCAAAAAGAAATAAAATTTTAAAATCTGAAATTCCAACCCTGGATTTGAACCCACAACCTTCAGATTTAGAGTCAGCAGTCCGTACCATTGGACTAAGCATAATTTCACACTTTTTAGTGGTTACGAAATTAACTATAAAGATTCAATTTACCCCAAAAGAAATAAAATTTTAAAATCTAAAATTCCCACCCTGGATTTGAACCCGCAACCTTCAGATTTAGAGTCAGCAGTCCGTACCATTGGACTAAGCATAATTTCACACTTTTTAGTAGTTACGAAATTAACTATAAAGTTTCAATTTACCCAAAAAGAAATAAAATTTTAAAATCTAAAATTCCCACCCTGGATTTGAACCCGCAACCTTCAGATTTAGAGTCAGCAGTCCGTACCATTGGACTAAGCATAATTTCACACTTTTTAGTGGTTACGAAATTAACTATAAAGGTTCAATTTACCCCAAAAGAAATAAAATTTTAAAATCTAAAAATCCCACCCTGGATTTGAACCCGCAACCTTCAGATTTAGAGTCAGCAGTCCCTACCATTGGACTAAGGATAATTTCACACTTTTTAGTGGTTATGAAATTAACTATAAAGATTCAATTTACCCCAAAAGAAATAAAATTTTAAAATATAAAATTCCCACCCTGGATTTGAACCCGCAACCTTCAGATTTAGAGTCAGCAGTCCGTACCATTGGACTAAGGATAATTTCACACTTTTTAGTGGTTACGAAATTCACTATAAAGTTTCAATTTACCCCAAAAGAAATAAAATTTTAAAATCTAAAATTCCCACCCTGGATTTGAACCCGCAACCTTCAGATTTAAAGTCAGCAGTCCGTACCATTGGACTAAGCATAATTTCACACTTTTTAGTGGTTACGAAATTCACTATAAAGTTTCAATTTACCCCAAAATAAATAAAATTTGAAAATCTAAAATTCCCACCCTGGATTTGAACCCGCAACCTTCAGATTTAGAGTCAGCAGTCCGTACCATTGGACTAAGCATAATTTCACACTTTTTAGTGGTTACGAAATTAACTATAATGTTTCAATTTACCCAAAAAGAAATAAAATTTTAAAATCTAAAATTCCCACCCTGGATTTGAACCCGCAACCTTCAGATTTAGAGTCAGCAGTCCGTACCATTGGACTAAGCATAATTTCACACTTTTTAGTGGTTACGAAATTCACTATAAAGTTTCAATTTCCCCCAAAATAAATAAAATTTGAAAATCTAAAATTCCCACCCTGGATTTGAACCCGCAACCTTCAGATTTAGAGTCAGCAGTCCGTACCATTGGACTAAGCATAATTTCACACTTTTTAGTGGTTACGAAATTCACTATAATGTTTCAATTTACCCAAAAAGAAATAAAATTTTAAAATCTAAAATTCCCACCCTGGATTTGAACCCGCAACCTTCAGATTTAGAGTCAGCAGTCCATACCATTGGACTAAGCATAATTTCACACTTTTTAGTGGTTACGAAATTAACTATAAAGATTCAATTTACCCCAAAAGAAATAAAATTTTAAAATCTAAAATTCCCACCCTGGATTTGAACCCGCAACCTTCAGATTTAGAGTCAGCAGTCCGTACCATTGGACTACGCATAATTTCACACTTTTTAGTGGTTACGAAATTAACTATAAAGATTCAATTTACCCAAAAAGAAATAAAATTTTAAAATCTAAAATTCCCACCCTGGATTTGAACCCACAACCTTCAGATTGAGAGTCCGCAGTCCATACCATTGGACTAAGCATAATTTCACACTTTTTAGTGGTCACGAAATTAACTATAAAGTTTCAATTTACCCAAAAAGAAATAAAATTTTAAAATCTGAAGTTCCAACCCTGGATTTGAACCCACAACCTTCAGATTTAGAGTCAGCAGTCCGTACCATTGGACTAAGCATAATTTCACACTTTTTAGTGGTTACGAAATTAACTATAAAGATTCAATTTACCCAAAAAGAAATAAAATTTTAAAATCTAGAATTCCCACCCTGGATTTGAACCCACAACCTTCAGATTGAGAGTCAGCAGTCCATACCATTGGACTAAGCATAATTTCACACTTTTTAGTGGTTACGAAATTAACTATAAAGTTTCAATTTACCCAAAAAGAAATAAAATTTTCAAATCTAAAATTCCCACCCTGGATTTGAACCCGCAACCTTCAGATTTAGAGTCAGCAGTCCGTACCATTGGACTAAGCATAATTTCACACTTTTTAGTGGTTACGAAATTAACTATAAAGTTTCAATTTACCCAAAAAGAAATAAAATTTTAAAATCTAAAATTCCCACCCTAGATTTGAACCCGCAACCTTCAGATTTAGAGTCAGCAGTCCGTACCATCGGACTAAGCATAATTTCACACTTTTTAGTGGTTACGAAATTAACTATAAAGGTTCAATTTACCCAAAAAGAAATAAAATTTTAAAATCTGAAATTCCAACCCTGGATTTGAACCCACAACCTTCAGATTTAGAGTCAGCAGTCCGTACCATTGGACTAAGCATAATTTCACACTTTTTAGTGGTTACGAAATTAACTATAAAGATTCAATTTACCCCAAAAGAAATAAAATTTTAAAATCTAAAATTCCCACCCTGGATTTGAACCCGCAACCTTCAGATTTAGAGTCAGCAGTCCGTACCATTGGACTAAGCATAATTTCACACTTTTTAGTAGTTACGAAATTAACTATAAAGTTTCAATTTACCCAAAAAGAAATAAAATTTTAAAATCTAAAATTCCCACCCTGGATTTGAACCCGCAACCTTCAGATTTAGAGTCAGCAGTCCGTACCATTGGACTAAGCATAATTTCACACTTTTTAGTGGTTACGAAATTAACTATAAAGTTTCAATTTACCCAAAAAGAAATAAAATTTTAAAATCTAAAATTCCCACCCTAGATTTGAACCCGCAACCTTCAGATTTAGAGTCAGCAGTCCGTACCATCGGACTAAGCATAATTTC